CGGTTCAGTTCTGCAGCTCTTATTATCTTCTCCAACATCAGATTAAAGAAGTCACATGAAAGGGAGTCGCCCTGTCTGAAACCCCGTTTTGTGGCGAACGGCTCGGAGAGGTCTTTCCCAATTCTGACGGAGCTGGTGGTATTGCTCAACGTCATTTTACACAGCCGTATGAGTTTTGAGGGGAGGCCAAATTCAGACATAGCGGCGTATAGGCAACTCCTTTTAGTGCTGTCAAGAGCGGCTTTAAAGTCTACAAATAGGTGGTGAGTGTCGATCCTTTTCTCGCGGGTCTTTTTCAAGATTTGGCGTATTGTGAATACCTGGTCTATGGTGGATTTGCCAGGTCTAAAGCCACACTGATAAGGCCCAATCAGTTCATTGACGGTGGGCTTCAGTCTTTCACACAATACGCTCGATAAGACCTTGTAACCTATGCTTAAAAGGCTGATCCCGCGGTAGTTGGCGCGAATGGCGGGGTCACCTTTCTTGTAGATTGGGCAAAGCACACTTAAATTCCAGTCGTCGGGCATGCGTTCATCTGATCATATTCTGCACAAGAGTTGATGCATGCACCTTATCAACTCCTCGCCGCCGTACTTGAATAGCTCAGCTGGAAGGCTGTCAGCTCCAGCAACTTTGTTGTTTTTCAGCCGCGTTATTGCTATACGTACCTCGTCATAGTCAGGCGGTAGAACGTCAACTCCGTCATCATCGACTGTGGGCTCGGGTTCTTCTTCTCCCTAACTTTCCGTGCTGCTACTATTTAGTAGGGCAGAAAAGTGTTCCCTCCACAATTTAAATACGCTCTGGACATCGCTTACTAGGTCGCCATTGTTGTTCATACAGGAGTACGCCTTGGTTTTGAAACCTTCCGTAAGTCGCCTAACTCTATGGTAAAATTTTCGGGCGTTCTTCCTGTCGGCCAGCATTTCAAGCTCTTCGCACTCACGTATTTCGCCCTACGTACGTATTTGTAATCGTAAATTTCAGGATTACGTCACGTTTCATTCCAAATATTTACTATAGAATAGAATATGGAAATTGAATTGAAAAGCTGAAAATTTCTTGCATTTTTCCGAACTCTGTACGAAATTAGAAAAAATTTATTCTTGTGGTATTTGCAGTTGTATAAACTATATGTATTTTTATAAAAATAAGAACAATTTGGTATAGAAAATACCAAATAATAAAATCGTCAAAACGTCAGGGTATACTTACTTTTGATGCTCACTGTACGTAAATACATACAATCACACTTACATATATACGTGGGAAAAACTATTAAAATCATTAATCAATATGTACATACATATGTGTGCTTCCTAAAAATAAGCACCCTCATTCATAAATATATTCTTATCAGTTGGATATTAATAAGTATGTGGCTAAACGAAACTTTTATTATCAATAAGTACATACACATACATGAAATACAAAACTATTAAATAAATCAAAAATAATTCCCACAGCAACTATCCCTTAACCTTTGTGTCAACACCCGATAATTTATATGCAAACATTTCCGGGTAACTAATTCATACAGTTCGTATGTCTCTTTTTACATTTTTAAGTTATTGCCGAGCTCTTTTAAGCTTTTAAGCTTTAGGATGTTCCGACGAAATATTAACCCTTGTATCTACTACTTCCTTAATGGCAGCCTCTTCTACCTGAAGAGAGAGAGCTCAAAGCAGAAGATTTCGCCGGCAATCCTTTCATCAAGTTTCGACCCATCTATGAAAAAGACCACAGCTGCCTGCTTCAATCCACTGCCCCACCGGATGATCCTTTTAGGATTTGATGTGGATTTACAATCTACAATTTTATGTTAAATATTAAAGCAATAGCGTCAAGTTATATATATGCACATATTTACCAGGCTGTATTTATGTACATATGTACATATGTATGTATATTTTGACTTGCTTTTGTATGTGTACCTAGCCTTCAATGTTTAATTTTCTACCTAAATTTCTCATTTCAGTTTATCTGCGCAAGCTCCAGCGGCCGTCAAATCGCATAACTTTCATCCTGCTCATCTGCACTTTATCGGCAGGACTCCATTAGTCTATCGGAGTATAGGCCAGGAGCTGGAACGTGCCGCTGCTGAATATGGCAATACGGAATCCATTGCTTCATGTCACGAAAAGAAGCGATATACTTATCGAGGGCTCCTCGAGGAAGCCGATCGTGTTGCTGCCGGCTTGCTGAAGCTTGGCTTGAAGCAAGGCGACCATGTGGGTATTTGGGCGCCAAATAACGCACACTGGTATCTGACGATGTTGGGTGTAGCACGCGCCGGATTGGTGTCGGTAGGTGAAGAACTCACTAGAATCTATAAATCCACTGAGATATTTTGAACTTTTAATTATGTACTCAGGTCGGCATAAACCCAGCATTTCAAGGTCCCGAAGTCGACTACTGCTTGAAAAAGGTTAAGGTGAAAGCGGTGATAATGCCTGAAACATTTAAAACTCAAAATTTCTATGAGATTATGAAAAGTATTTGCCCAGCGTGTCATCGTCGACACAGGCAGCACATTGAAAGGCGCCCTAAGTTATGACGAATTACTCGGCCTGAGTAGTCTAGCCGAGCGCGAGGTTATCACAAAGCTACAACGCCATATCGTACCTGATAGCGGGTGCAACATCCAGTTTACCTCTGGCACAACTGGTCAGCCAAAGGCAGCAGTAGTTTCGCATTACAACTTCGTGAACAACGGCATACACATAGGTAATCGTAATGAACTGGACAGCGCTTCACGCATCTGCGTACAAGTTCCACTTTTTCATGCTTACGGTGTTGTCATCACAATAATGGCCGCTATGACTCATGGCAGCACTTTGGTTCTACCAGCAGCCGGTTTTAGTCCGGCCGACTCGTTACGTGCCATTGTTGACGAAAAATGCACAGTTATCCATGGCACACCCACAATGTATGTGGATCTCATCAAGAAGCAGAGAGAGTTGAAGTTGCCATTGAAGACCGCCAAAATGGCTGTTACCGGCGGAGCGCCATGCTCGCCACAACTCTTCCTCGACATTAAGAATGTGCTTGGTTTGGAGCACGTGCGTACCGTTTTCGGCATGACTAAAAGCACAGCAGTGATTTTTCAATCGCGTCCTGTGATAGTATGGAGCAAATTTTAAATACCGTAGGTCATTTGCAGGATCATGTTGAAGCCAAGGTGATCGATGCTGAAGGTAAAACCGTGTCCTTCGGCGAGCGTGGAGAACTTTGCGTGCGTGGTTATGCTACAATGCTGGGCTACTATGATGATGAGGCGAAAACGAAAGAGACCATCGGACGTGACAAATGGCTGAGAACTGGGTAAGTAGTTCATGGTTGCGGTAAAAAAAAATCGGCTTTATTTTCACAAATTCTCTTGCAGCGATCAATTTATTCTGCAAGAGGATGGTTACGGTCGCATTGTGGGACGCCTGAAAGCGATGATCATACGTGGAGGAGAAAATTTATTTCCGAAAGAAATTGAGGATTTTCTAAACACACATCCGCAAAATTGTGGAACTCATGTATGTGGCTATGCCTAGTTGTATATGTGAATTTGTTCTCATTTTCCTAGACTCATTATCAACCCATTTCCAGGTGATTGGTGTTCCATGTGAACGTTTCGGTGAGGAACTGTGCGCCTTTGTACGGATGGACGATAGCTCTACGAAGGTATCGCGGGAGGACATTAAGGCATTCGCTAAAGGAAAGTTGGTACACTTTAAGATACCACGTTACGTGATACCAATTAAGAATTTTCCGAAAACTACATCGGGTAAAATACAGAAATTCAAGCTCGCCGAATTGTACGAAAAGGAGTACAGAACATAATTAGTATCGAGGATATGAATTATTTATTAGTTGCTATGAGTGTAGAAATTTATATTGCTCATGCATAAGCATGTAAAAATGTTTTTTGATAAATTTTATTTTTAATGTGAAAAAATTACTAACGGAAAAGATTTTATTTGTATTCACTCAGCACTTTGCTTCGTGCCTGCGAAAGGGATTGGGGAATCATTAGAAGCGGTATTGGGCTATATCCGCCTGGTCGCCTTTCAAAGTACCTGGAGCAGATGGAATCTTGCCAATTCATCTCCAAAGGGTCCTTGCCATCTTTTCCCCTTTTTAATACCATTTTTCAGGTCAGAGTATGTTTGGGGACCCCTACCGCAAGAAGTTACTGACCAACCTGTCGACAATACTGATCATACCGATCCAAAAGCCTTCCGTTTTTCCTGCTGAGACCTATTGAACTCATCGTAAACAAGTATACCAGAGTTAGTTTTGTTCTGAAAAGCTCTGGGATAAACGTCGATGTGCCTATCTTTCTACCGCCCACGTTGCTCCACAAGGAAAATTTAAAAGTCCTTTGGGGGAACAAAGAGGTAGGCGTAGGTTGCTACCTGTACGTACATAGATAGGCTTTCTATAGCACGCAATACTCTCTTATAGGCAACTGCGTTCGGTGAATAGGGAGAACAGGAAGCCAAGAAATGTGTACCACAGGGTGGATGATTTGTTATCGCAAACAGAGGCGACCTCCCAAAAAATGCGCTGAACAGAGTCACCAATTAGTGTAGAAAAAATGGGCTAAACTCTAAGAAGTTTAGTGAAAGAAAGCAGCAAAATTTAGGTCCGCGCTGGCTAAGCTCAGCACACTCAAAGGACTAATCAACGTGGGAATCAGTGAATCGATATGAACAACATCAACTGCGAGTCGCACGGCGCCTCCAGATCTGGCTCCGCTGACATTATAGTCAATAATGAGACTCTACTGCTCATCTTGCAGAGAATGTTGAAATTAAGATTTTTGTAAACCTATGTATCTTCTCTGAGAGAAGGACTGCTCATTAGCTTTCGGTGCATCTGCCCTTCATGGTTTTCAAAAATTCCGGAGAATACTGACGTCACCAAGACTGACCATGTCGTCGGAGCAAGGGTCTATGTATACCAAACAGACGGCTACTCTTCACAAGCATCTTGCCTTATGCCCTAACTACGTCTCTCAAGCTGAGGTGCATGTCATTAAACCATGCCTTTATTTGAGTATTTCTGTATAGCGGTATAGCTTAGCAAGAGTAATCTACACTGAGGAAAAAAATTTTTGAAATAAAAAAAACGTGCTAAATTAAAAAAAAAAACGCATATGAAAGAGCACCAAACCTACTCGTTTTAAATTTGAGTATGTACGTTATAAAATAAGTGGTTGTGAAGTGCACAGATGATTTTTCGTAATTAAGAAGCAAAAAAATTTATTTTATGCTCCCGTCTGATGGTAATACATGTACATGCTTTCTATACATATACTTTCTTTATTACATATGAAAAAGCATCCGAGACGTGCGAAACACCATCCGTGCAGTGAAAACTGCTTCATTTTAATACGGGCGTATTTAAATTGAATATAATATTATAAAAAACTAAAAACTCGCTTTTATTGCAATGTGAACTAAAAAGAAAAAAAATAATTTGTAGAAATGCAGATTTCGTTTAAAAGGAGTAGGAAGTTCCCTAAATTGATTTAATTAAAGTTAAAAAAGCAACCTAAAATAGGATTAAAGTAATTGAAAATAAAATTAATCTCGCCGGAAAACAAAGAATAGGTGCTCTTTAGATTTTATAGACAGTATTCAATATTACTAAACTGAAAATGAAAGGTTCAATACAATTGAACCCACGTTTTGTTTTCCGGTAAAACTAATTTGAATGTCAATCACGTTAATTCTATTATAGGTTGATTTTAAAAGTTTATTTAAGTCAAGTTAGGGAACTTCCTATGCCTCTTAAACGAAATCTGTATTTCTATATATTATTTTTTACTCTTTAGTTCACTCTGTAATAAAAGCAAGTTTTTATTTTTTTTAAACTACATTTTTTTGCATCTTATTTTGATTTTCAAAATCATTGCCATCATTTTCATGTGAAAAATTTAAGCGAGCCTTTAGAAGCATCAGTTAAATTTCCGATAAGTACCGGGACTACAGAGTTTGAAACCATTTTTTAGAGGGAACGGAAAGTAAGAATTTGATGGAATCGCGCCCATTTTACCGCCAGGATTTCGAAGTAACTGTCGGAGACCACTCAATAAAGTAAAGAGAAATGCTTCAGTATAAACTGGTATTGCGTCGAAACCTAAATACGTATATGAATGTTAATAATTAAAAATAATTGAGTCACTATTTTGAAATCACTCGCCATGGCACTCGCCAAAAAGTTTTATAGCCAGGTGACAAGTATTTACAGTGTTAGCTTTGCATCAAAACTAAAACTAAATATTTATGCATACTCTCTCTGCTTAGGTTCCAGTTTAGATATGAATATGTGAGAAATATATACGTAAAGCGATCTTATCAATATTAGGGAATTATGTTAAGTCCATAATTATGCTTAGTTACATTCGTGTTTAAAAATTTCAAACAAAAGCTCGGAATTTGTTATTATTGAGTGCAGAAATTAGTTATAATGTTCGAAACGAGTAGCGTGCTTTGTTGAACTCAGCCAAAATCGCTTGGCCGGTTACAACGCCAAATAAGAAGAAAAAATAAAAGCGCTGTAAGAAGAAATTATGTATTTAAACTAATACATCTGCATGTACAAGTAATATACATATTTACATACATATTTGAAAAAAATATAGCCAAAAAAGTCGATGAACCTATAATCTTTCACTGAAAATTTTATACTTATGTAAATAATTTTTATTTTTTTGGTTTCCATGTAAGTTAAGTTTGCTCAAAATTCGGGTATTTCTTAAAATTACGTGGCATACACTCATGGCACAATAATTACTGGTATTGTCTTCCCAGAGAGCGCATATTGCGATCTGCCTAATTTTAAAAATATCATTGTTGCCAACACTGATAGGTTTACTGCTAGGGAAAAGGGATATTTCAATACCCCATATACCATATATGTACACGTGTTTCTTTAACAAACCATCTTGCAGAGAACTTATTTAATTTTGCAAAAGCCGAAAAAAATATTTGCTTGTAAATAAATTCGAAATTTGTATGGCTCACTTAATTTCAAACGATTTTTCTTTTGTTTTGAAAATTTATAAAAATTAAATTGAGCGAAAACAAAAAGCAAAGCCAAATAAAAGTAAAAGGAAAAGAATCAACATTGAGCTAAGTCAAAATGAAAATAAGGGAGCACGAATTTCGATGTGAAGCAAAACTCTCTGGGAAGACAATACCTGTAATTATTGTACCATGGCCTACAATCATGAAATTAACAGTGCTAAGGGATATATGTAAGGGATACAAATCGTGTGGAGTGGAATCGTTACAGTTGTCCATTTTCTGCATGCCCACAGAAGTTTTAAATGCGATATTGCATCTACATATTTCCCACCATATTCAAAAGAGGCATAACTGAAAAATCAGAACCAAAAATATAATTGCTTATGGATGCTACCGATTCAACTCAATTGTTACTAGAACATGAATAATAATAGTTTTCTAGTAAGAGAATATAATCGCGAAAAAATTTGAATTAATTGGAGATAAATCCTACGAATTGGTTCATGCAAAAAAAATATCAAATTTTTTATTTTTTTTTTTTTTCGTTGTGCCTCTTTTGAAGATATCTACTTCCTATTGATCTAAATCGCTAGCTTAGAAAGAAAAGTTGCTAAGTCCCATTTTAAAAATTTTACACCAGAGGAAATAATCTTCCTATAACGATTTTCTTTAACTATTTCGCAAGACTTTGAATCAAACATTTTGCGCGTTTAAAGCAAAGCAAAACTCCATAAGAATCAGAAGGTTTCGATATTTGTTAAAAGATGTCGTATTATTTTGGCCTTATCGGATTTGGGGTGCTTCTTTTGGACTTAGCAAGTTTTCCTTTTATTGCTTATGAAGAGGAAAAAATAAAACAAGTACCTTTATAATTTTCGAAACGATGCGTATTCAATTTCTCTAGCCTCCTATATCAAAATATGAGTTTTCATAAAAAGTGGACTTAGCAACTTTTCACTCTAAGCTAGCGAAATGCTTTCTCATGGACCTACCGAAACTAAGGTAGGCCCTTCAGTAGCTTGCTCAACAACCTATATTTTCTTATCCGACAGTCAGGTAGCCATAGGAGCTTTAGACTAACACATATTTATGCACTGCCGAGTTCATTACTAAATACTGCCGATTATAGAACAAGATGCCTAAGTGTTATAGATTCAACTCTTATGGGTGTTCGAACACCGAGATAAATACGATTGGTAGGGAAAATAAATACACTACCATCCAAGTTCTGCTGAAAAATAGTAGATAAGGTGTACAAATGATCATTTTTTAGATACCATTTTTTGATAGAGATCATACCACTCTTGTAGCCAAGGAACGATAGAACAAGCTTTCCTGACCTTCCGACAACAAGGAAGGCACATCGTTGCTGCAAAGTTTAAACAAAAAATATATGTCCTTCCTTGTACGCACTTTTACGGCCACTGCATAATTGACAAATCATTAATCTAACTAGAGGTGCATAAACCGGCCCATAGTTAACACATTTGGAATAGTTATAAAGGATTTTGATTAGAGTTTCCACCTGTTTAAAAAGTTAAATTCAATTTTGTCGTCTTAACGCCATGCGGGTTCACTAGTTTTTATAAATATATGACAATAACCAGGGCCGAAAAGTTTATGCTTTTGCTTGAAATTGCTTATTTCGCTTATTCAGGGTTTCCAAGCTTAATTTTAATGATCATGCTTGTTTTATTTTTTTCAGTGTATAAAGCTAAGTACAGACCTTTTAAGTAAACGGTCAAGCAGTAAATTGCTGTTATTGCCGTCTCACTTTTTCCTTGCGAAATAATGGAACGGGCATATATTTCTGTTGAAAACAAGGATGCCTTTTACTCTTTACAATCAAAATTTAGCAAACCATAGTAGAAAGTGTAGACAATTTCTTAAGAACTTCGTACTGCTTAAGAAAATTTGGATCAAT